AATATTGTCTTCGTTCGTCGTTCAAATTTTTTTGAAAAAGTACGATATCGATCCAAGAATAAAAATCGCGCGAGACAATGGGGTGTGTATTGAAACGGAAGAGAAAGAGGTGCAGGGATGCAATAAAAGAGGCCGAGGAAAATGGTCTCCGAGCTCAAGTCGCTTATTTGGGAAAACGTGTTTAATCAACCTCTTTCGCGGAGATTTCTTTCTTTCTTTTTTTTTTTTTTCGCTCAAAGAAGATGGACTTATATATTGAAGTGTGCTCTTTGTACGCGTTAATGAGCGTGGAACGCATCCAACCGGGAGAAATCTCGAACTTCCTCGACTGAAATACGTTAGAGGACGTTTTGAATCGTTCCGTGGATTTCGTGAAAGCGAACCTCTAAAATTAAATTATTTAAGCAATTATAATATTATGTTGTCAAACATAATTTATGTTTTGAAATGAGAATATTAGAGGATAATAAATGGAAATTCGTTTGGAGATGATGAGGTTTCAAATTTCTCCATGAAACTACTGGTATCATCTTTGTCGAAACGTTCTATTTGTCCTCGTTATTCGTTTATCGAGCGATTAATAAGTTGGAGTTAATTCGTGGAGAGTCGATTCGAGCAAAAACAAATACAAAAGTATACGAAAAATTATTATTTATTAAATCGTCTTGCCGCTCTATCCTTGTCTCGTTTCATTCGAGGTAAACTTCAATTGCTCTTTTTGTTCTATGATAATATATAAACGCTCTGTACACTATATTTTATTAATTTTGGCCTAACAATAATATAACAAATTTTTATTCTCCCGATAATGAAGAAGCATAATTATATAGCCGATAAATTAAACGCGTGAATCTGATTTCCTATTAAATCGTTCGAGAAAAATCGTCCAACTGGAGAAAGCACGATCACGACGAAAGATAAAAAAAGAAAAACGCAAGAACCGGTTGATCTCATTCGCTCTAATTAATCTTCCCCTTAATGCCAACTTGAAACACGATCCACCATCACCAAGATTACGAGCTGAATTAACTTTTTACAACGATGAATTTCCGTCAGATGTATGGAAGACAGCTCGAATCGATCGTTGATCGATGGGCGGCGACCTGTCAAAGAAATCTTCGTCTCGAGGAGTGAAAATTTCCCCATTGAGAAGAGAATACGTTTAAATATCTTTGGCAGAGGGAGGAAAGAGAGAGAGAGGATTCGATAAAAGCAATCGAGTCGAGTAAACATCGTGATATTTTCGGGGATGGTTGGAAACACGATTGAAATTTTCGAACACGAAATTCCTGAATTGTAGGGAAACACGAGTTCCACGAGCGATAAACAAAGATATTTCGAGACAACATATCGATTCTCTGCGTTCAAGAGAAAAAGAATTTCATTCAAAGTTCTGTGTTGCGATTATTTTATCCCTTACATCCCTTTGCCAGGGATTTAATTAAATATGAAAACTTTTAAACTGTAAAGAGATAATTCCAAAATAATCGTTCCAAAGATTATGAAAATCTCGAAAATATATCGCGAAGAAAAATTAAACATTCGATTGCCTAATTTCGGAAATTTAATCCCGTTCCATGGAAATAAACTTCTCTCTCGAACAAACTTTCTAAAAGGCCGGTTCGATTATGATCAACCATGGAACACGATTATCTTCGATCAAAGCCACTCTTTTTTTTTCTTTTTTTTCCCCAAATCGAATCTAATCTCCATCCACCGCGGAATTTCATCGTGACACCAATTTTCTTGGCGAGGGTAATCGCATTACAATCCAGCTGCGTTCAATTACCACAATCGAGGTAAACTTTACGCTAATTGCATTAATTTCAATTAAGAGTGATGCACGATGCAGGAATTCGTGTTTCTACGCGTTCAGCAAACGTGTGGCATGCTTCTCCCTCGAGTAGCTCGAGAAACGATCCAAAGCGAACTCGTGGCCACAATCTATGGTTTGGCACTTACGTTCAGCGGTTTAAGCGTTTTAACTACACATTTTGCTCCCGATATTTCTTTCCGTTACAGAATTCCGATTTTCTATGCTTCCACTCGCAACGAAATCACGAGAAAGTTTTCTCTTTCGATTGGAACAAGGAAAGATTTCGAAAGTTCTCCCCCTCTTTTAATTCTTTTAATTATAAGAAGCTTTCCGTATTTTTGATTTGATTTGTTGAAAAGAATTTCAACATCAAATTTACAATCGTATTGTATTGGTTTTGCAGAGTAGAAAAAGATTCGATCGTTTGGTCTCTTGTTTCTTTAAACAAAGCGACTCGAAATCATCTTACATCTGTGATCCAATTTGAATAATTACGTTACCTCGTATTCAAGTATTCAAGAAAGTATCGAAGAAAGGAAGACATCCGAACAACAAGTTGATTCGATTCCCCGCGTGACTCGTTTCTCAATTTAATCCTTTAGAAAAGCGAAATAATTCCAACAACACGTTTACCAATTCAATTTACCAATTTTCCCCGTTTGAACCTCTTGCACAAAGCATTAAATTTCTAATTATTCCCTTAAATAACTTTACACGAGTTTCGAGTCAAGTTTAAACCTCCACTGAATTGAAGCAAATATTTAAATTTACGATATAACATGCTCGATTCTCCAATTTCATCTCCTTCCCTTCTCTTGGCTAAAATGGTCCAAGGGTTCGAGGATCTACTTTCTCCTTCTAATTCTCTAAGTATTTATCAAATCGTGATATAGATAATAGAACAAATTAAATTTTCGTATGAAATTATATATTGAAAGCGCATATATCAATATGCGCGTGAAAAATACGCTTTGAATGAGAACACGCCTTTGATTAAAACGAATTTGATATGACCGTACGTGAGAGAACTTTCGATGAAAAAACGAGAGCAAGCAAGACGTGGAGCATCAGCTTTAACGGAATGGAAGAACGTCATTTGCGTTTCTCTGAGAAACGTTTAACATACATTTAGATATAATTATTTAACAGTGTGGATTGATATTATTTTGATGAAGGTGGAATCGAGTTGAAAAGTTGAAAAGTTTTCTGGAAAGCGAGATAAAGTTTTCTGGAAAGATCGGCCGGCGAACTGGATTAATGGATTCAGACAAAGAGAACTTTAACTTAATAATGAAAACTTTAACACAAGTTGAAAAGTTTTCATTGTTCGCTAGAAATTCACGAATAAGCATAATTAATCTCGCGATTAACCTCCATTCCACATTATAAATTTATCATCGATTAAAAAAATTTCGACACGAACTAATGAACATTCCTTTGACATACAAATAAATATCAATCTATTTTTCCATCATAAATTCTTCAAATTCTATATTCGAACAAACGAATTGCAACGACGAGTGACAAGTTTAATTTGCATTTGTAATTCGAATAACGAACCTATTTAATAACGAGTCTAATTGGAATAAGAGAGTCGTCTCGTACGACGATCGTAGACGATTTCCACGCTTACTTAATCAATACCGTCTGATAATTGCTTGATTATCAGTGTCCTGCGATCAAGCATTAGGAACGTTCGCTAATTTCATCGATTCAAATTTGATTTCAAAGATATGCATAACTTCGTTATCATCGTGACGGGATCTACGTAATTCAATAATATGAAATACGAGCACGATTAAACACGATTACGTGCGAATGAATTAACGATTCAACGTCTTTTCAATGGAAATTGTTATAAAAGTTAAAAATCCTTGCTTCGAATAACAAGTTTAATTAGCAGAATTTTAATCAAAGAAATATAAAAAGAAAGATGAAAAAGAATTAATTTTTAAAAATTATTTAGAATGATTAATTTATTCGATTAATTCAATAAAATTTAATCTTTTAATTTTAATTGATCGTAAATCATTGATATTTATTTTTTTAGTAAGAAATATTTTTTCTATAATTATTATTTATATATATTTATAGAATTTATTTATAGAATTAGATACATAAATTTAAATGAATTAATAATAAACCGATTTTTATATTTAATAATTTTATTTTTAATTTCAATATATGTATATATTGAAATTTTAAGAATATTTTAAGAATATATATTATCAATTATTTTAGAACGAGATGGATCAAGATTAATTTCTTATTCTTTAATAATTTATTGTATAAAAATAAAATGTTTTTGAATCGTGTTGATGATTCGAGTTAACTAATAACAATATGCCACGTAACACGTTTTGGAAGATGAAATTTAATTTTCTATAATGATTTTTTTATTAAAAAAAAAAAAACAATTTGCCTCTTATCGTTTCGTACAAAATTCATTT